ATAGAACCCTTCTGTCACCCACTAGTTTACATTAACCAATTCAGATCCCACACAACAGAACCATTAGGCAGAGTCAGATCCATATATTGTTTTCATTTGTTTTCTACCAAGTTTTCACACTTGGAACTTCTTCGGTTTGCTTGCTTAGCTGTGAATGATAACAACGGTGACATAGACAAATAGGAACAAATGAGGAAAGAATTACTGAAAAAGAAATGCCTTTTTAAAAATCAGCAAGAGGGGTGCCTGGGCAGGTCAGTGGGTTAAGCAATCAACTCTTGGTCTCAGCTCAGATCTTGATGTTAGGGCCATGAGCTCAAGCCCCATGTTGGGCTCCAGGCTGAGTGTGGAGTCTACCAAAAAAAAAAAAAAAAAAAAAGGCATAAAAATCAGTACAATAAAACCTCATGAACTCAGCTATGTTAGAGCAAGAACTAGAAACCTTGCCTCCATCTGTGACTCATCATTGGTATCCTGTTGGGTGCTCCCAGAACCCTGTCCCCCTGAGTCCCTCCCTCTCTTCATAGGCTGTAGGGCTTGGGTTTTCTGTCACTGGATTACTTAAGCAAGCTCTTTGAAAGAATTGTTTTTTCCTACTTTGCTCCAGGCTGTTGGGCTTGCATTTGGTGAAGTTTCTCTGAAGCAATGAGGCTGGTGTTATCACTTCAGCACTCCTATTTAAACACTCTCTTAATTCCTCCTGTTTAGTCTGGCTCATTGGGTGTTGCCCATGAAAAGTTTGGCTTTTGTAATCACAATTAGAGCAGGCTGGTGTGACTAATCAGTCAGTTCACTGTGTCTCTATCTTCTGTGAAGTGAGTCAGTTTCAACATTAGCTCTGTGCTCACATGTCACTCCCTACTCTAACGTTCAAGCCTATATTTGTTCCAGACTCTGAATATTACAAAAAAAAGGGCCATTTGTTTTCATTCTTAAAGCATGTTCTATACTCCCTCTTGGGAGTAGAACTAACTCCACAGGAATTTGGAGAAATTCCCAGAGTGCTAGCTCACTATACAGAATTTCCAGGGCAGGGAAATTTTCCTCATTTTGGGAAATTGTACTGATAATACAACATTCAGGTCAAGACACACATAATGAATGTTTGTAACATGCAAAGCACTTTTCATATATCGTTGTTTTAAAATACGGTTACTGTTAGAGCAGCTCTAGAAAAATTACATTTTGCAGAAAAAATTATAGACAGTAGAATTTCCATATATCCCACACCCAGTCTTCCCTTTTATTAGCATCTTACATTAGTATGATATATTTGTTACAATTAATGTAATAATGTATCAGTGATTCATCAACGGATACATTATTATTAACTAACAGTCATGCTTTATTCATATTTCCTTAGTTTTTTCCTAATGCCCTTTTGCTGTTCCAAGATCCCATCCCAAATACAACATTACATTTAATTATCATATCTTCTCAGGCTCTACTTGACTGTGACAGATTCTCAGACTTTTTTTTGTTTAACGAACTGGACAGTTTTGAGGAGTACTGCTCAGGTGTTTTGCAAAACGTCCCTTAATTGTGATTTGTCTAATATTTTTCTCATAAGACTGGGGTTAGGGATCCCTGGGTGGTGCAGCGGTTTGGCACCTGCCTTTGGCCCAGGGTGTGATCCTGGAGACCCGGGATCGAATCCCATATCGGGCTCTGGGTGCATGGAGCCTGCTTCTCCCTCTGCCTATGTCTCTGCCTCTCTCTCTCTCTCTCTCTCTCTCTCTCTCTATCATAAATAAATAAATTAAAAAAATATTTTTAAGAGGAAGACCACAGAAGTAGAATGCCATTTTCATCACATAAGGTCAAGGGCATATATTATCAACATGACTTATCACTGTTGATGCTAACTTAGCTCACCTGGCTGAGGTAGTATTTGTCAGATTTCTCTGCCGTACATTTACAGTAACTTTGTCCTCATTTTCCCCCTTTTCATCCTGTGCCCTTTGGAAGGAAGTCACTATGCACAGCTTATACTTAAAGAGTAGAAAATTATGGTCCATCTCTGTGAGGGCAGAGTATCTGTATAAATTATTTGAACTTCCTATTAATTCAGTCATTTATTTATATCAGTATGGATTTAAGGATTTTTAAAATAATACTTTGAGTTATAATCCCCCAAATCCTTCTTTATTTATTTTCTTGTTCAAAATTTTCCAGCTTGGCTATGGGGAGAGAGCTCTTTTACTTGGTTCCTTGTCCCTTTAACATGCTCCTTCATTGTGTGTGTGTGTGTGTGTGTGTGTGTGTGTGTTTTAAGCACTTCCTTAATTTCTGCGTTTACAAGATGTCTCAGGTTCATCTTGTATGTTTCATGTCCCAGGCCTAGAACCAGCTATTTTTCTGGGGAACCCTAGTCCTTTTATTGGAGAATGGTATTAGAAATCAGGATCTGGATGATAGACATGCTCATTGTTATTGAAGTCTCTTTGCTTCTCAGCTGAAAGAGAAAAGGACTATCTGTGTATATATATATATATATATATATATATATATATATATTGTGCATATATTAAATCAGGTATTTGCACATATGCATGAATATTTCTGTATGTAACTATTTGTATCTATGTTCAGCTAAATGTGAGTTCATAGAGATGTCTCCAACTTCAATCCATTACCACTTGCATCATTCTAATCTCCTCCTTTTGTCCTAACAGTGAGATACTGGACTCCTACCATCCACCATCCATTTATTCTATTGTTCAGTTTCAGTGTTCCTGTATAGCAGTACCCAAATTGCTGTTAACATGTGCCGATCTGGGAGGTAACTTTATCAACTAGTTTTCCAGGGGTCTGGAAGACATTTTTCTGGATGGTCATGGGCCTGGTATCATACAACAATTCCGTTACTAAAGAAGAAGGGGAGAATCGATAAGGGAACACAACTGGGATGCCCGGGTGGCTCAGTGACGGAGCGTCTGCTTCGGCTCAGGTTGTGATCCCGGGGGGCTGGAATCAAGTCCTGCATCGGGCTCCTGCTTCTCCTGCTTCTCCCTCTGCCTATGTCTCTGCCTCTCATTGTGTCTCTCATGAATAAATAAAATCTTTTTAAAAAATAAGGGAACACAATTAATGGTCTCCACCATAGAATGCACTGAAGTGACAGGTCACAAAAGAGAAAAATACAATGGCCTTGTTTTCAATTTTAGCTGAGTTTCTATGACAAAGTCAGTTGTTTCCTTCCTCAGACTGCAGCCTTTCTACATGATGCTCATTTCCTTCTGTTGCCACAGCACCAGCTCCATCTTCTTTGGGCTTCCACAGCCATCAGCCATCACTCACAGAAGTAAGGGGACCAATCCTATTGAGCACAATGTAAACTGAGCCATGAGAGAACACAGCAGGGCAGTGAGGTGGTAAGGATGGATAAATGGAAGTATCCACTGGTTGTTGGGCAGTGAAGGTAGCAGAGATTGCAAGTGGGTGCTGACTGATCCAAGATATTAATATGATAAGGAGGAAGAAACGTGGATGATGGGACGGCTTTTCCAAATGACCATCAGTGAGGCCCCCCCTGACAACTTTGACTAATCTGTGCCCCTTCGTTGATCTGTTATCAAATCAGTTGCCAATGTGCTATTTTCATCCAGTGAGAGTCTACAATTCTAAAAAACAAACTCTTCCATACCCACCTTCCAAACCTGACCTGCTAGCTGGGGACCGTTATGCCAATATATGGGAAAGAATAAGCAACTCTACACAGGGATATCTAAAGTTTTTCCTATCACATGAGAAGATTTTGGAAAAAAGAAAATTACACTGTAGGAAAGGGAGCTTTGAAGATTTGCTCATCTAGGTTCAAATCCTAGCTCTGCCACTGGAGAGTCGTGCAACCCAAATCATTTGCTGCCATTTATATTAAATTGTTATTAAAATACTAAATTATTAAATATAAATTGGTAAAGTAATATCAAAATGGTATGTTTTCTTAGTATTTAAAATATGTGACAAAACCTGGAGAATTTATAGCACAAAGAGAGAACCTTAATGTATGCGAATTTACAAATCCTTTAGGAAGCTGAGGGATCCAGGATGGAATGCAGAATGTGACAGAAATGTCTGTATCACACTTACGTGAAACAACCTCACGCCCTGGGTGGGAGGTGAGGGGAAAAAGTGTTAACCTAAGTAACTTTGGAAATGTGTGGAGTGTGTCAGACTACAGGCAAAAGAAAGTCTACATTCACACTGTGCTCTGGTTGGAACTGGAATGTGAAACCTTCTATAAGCATCCTAAAAATGAGGGGAGGGCATGCTCTTCTCACTTTTGTTCTTTCCTACTGGGTAGGATAGGACTCCTTACCAGGTTAGGACACCCATCTTGGACATGAGATGAAAGACAAGGGTTGAGGATGATGATGACAAGAAGATAGAAGTAGCTTGTCTTTTTCTTACGATTATAGAGCGTCCACACCTGCTGAAATTAGAATGAAAAAGAAATTTCCACCTTGTTTAACTCACTCTTAATTTGAATTTCCTATCACATATAGCTCTAATCCCAACTAATGAAGATTTTACCATACCTCTTCCTCCCTGCCTTTTACCCCTTTACCACTTCCTGGATCCCTCAAAAAAAAAAAAAAAAAAAAAAGGAGAATGCGTGACTTTTCATGATATAAGCCCCTTGTAAGACGTTCTGTGGGATCCTCGAGCACCTAATTCCAGCCCATGAAAGGGATGCATAAAGTAGACTCTTGCTCACAAAAGGATTGGATCCTTGCATGCAATGATAATAACTGATTGGAGCATACTATGTATTAACTCAACATCCTCACACACAAAAAAGGGTTATTTCAATGGCCAAAGAGTAGACCTTTGGCTTTTGTTGTATCAAAAGTACATACTTACTGAATTTGGGGAAGTGTCAAGAAGCGTAACCTTTCAAAATGTAAAGGTTGGGTGGTCGTAGTCTATGATCTCTCTCTCTCTCTCTCTCTCTCCTCCCTCCTGGACTTTGATGTTCTACTGGACTTGGGAATTAGAAGTCTGTTCAAAGAACGATGGAGCAGAAAAGGAAGATGCCAGTTCACAGTTGCTACGTGTCCATTTCAAAATGGTTACCTAGCAACAGCTGGAGCCAGGAGCTACAAGGAGTCATACCAGTGGCTTGGAGTGGAAAAGCTTACTGAGCTACAGACTTGCTCTACTAACCGTCTCGTCTGCGTGGTTTTTAAAATAAGAATCAGCTTTTGGGGTTATGTGGGCTGAGGCACAACTGATTGTCTGTTTTATTTGTCCTCTCTCATCTTCTGACAGGGTGAAGGGCTTGCTGTGTTTACAGAAAACCTCTCATGGTGTGAAAAACATCTGACAGCTTTTGAAGCCAAAACAGAATCCCTTTTAAAGTTCCTAGATGCCAGTGATAGCACCTCTGTGAATATACAGCTTTAGGGGGAAAAAAAGTCCTCTTTTAAGTAAGAAAATTAAATTTCCTTAAACACACAGAAAAAGTTTGAAGAGTTTAAATCAGTATAAAATTGAAAATTTTTTACTAAAGTTATCATTCTAAGACCCCTCTAACCTAGCCTCCCAAGTTTTCATCTGTTTATGTTCAGTTCCAGAAAACCAAGACAAATACCTATAAAAAGAGAAATGCAGGATGTATTACAGGGGTTGTGGCATTTGGTATTTATATTCTATCATTAAGCTGTACCTTTATTTCCTTTGCGTACAGCCTCTTGCCTTGCTTATGCCTATTTTCTTTCTGTATTTCAAAATCGCAAAAAATTTCATCTATATGATTACTTTGTAAACTCTTTGGGGCTCTAACCTCTCAAGAGGAAAACCTCTCAATAGAGTTTAGATATTCATCACACATTCTGTTTGGGTTAGAAATGAAATTTCTATTAAAAATGAAATTAGGGGTGCCTGGGTGACTCAGCTGGTTAAGCGTCCGACTTTTGGTTTTGGCTCAGGTTGTGATCTCAGGGTGGCAGGATCAAGCCCCACATTGGGCTCCCAGCTCAGCGTGGAATTCTGTTTAAGATTCTTACCGCTCCTTCTCCATCTGCTCCTCCAGGAGGAGGAGCATGCACTTGTACGTATGCTCTCTGTCTCTCTTAAATAAATAAATAAATAAATAAATAAATAAATAAATAAATAAATAAATAAATAAATAAATAAAATCTTAAAAAAAATAAGTCACAGGGACTCAAATAGATATTTATATTCCAATGTTCATAGCAGCTTTATTCACAATAACCAAAAAGTGGAACAACTCAGGTGTCCATTAACAGACGATGGAGAAATAAGATATGGCAGATATAAAAAATAGAATAGTATCCAGCCTTAAAAAGGGATGAGATTCTGATGCATGCTCCCACATGGAAAAACCTTGAAGATGTTATGCTAAGTGAAATAAGCCAAACACAAAATAACAAATATTATATGATTTCACTTATATGAGATGCCTAGAATAGTCAAATTTGTAAAAACAGAAAGTAGAATGGAGGTTTCTAAGAGTCAGGGGAGTGGACAATGAGGAATTATTATTCAGGGGGTAACAGAGTTCCAGTTTTGAAAGATGAAAATGTTCTGGAGTTGGATAGTGGTAATGGTTGCACAACATTGTAAATGTGGTTAATGCTGATCAACAGTAAAGCTGGAAAGGGTTAAAGAGTAATTTCAGTTATTCAGCATTTCAGTAATTTCAGTACCACAATAAAAAAAATTAAATGTATCGGGCTGAATATTAACAATGCTCTGATTTTTTTCCTTGTGCTTCAGTGTCCTAATGGGACATAATTACAGGAGGAGAAAAATCTGCTCTGGGTATTGTGTAATGTGCATCCATGTATAGAAGAATAAACCATGTTTTCAAAAGAGCAAAATCTTGCCCTGATTTTTGCGAGAAATTCTAATATCAGTTGAATCAAATTCTTTTTGTTGTTGTTGTTGTTGAGTGAAAGGATGACTGTTTTGAGAGAAGAAGGGGCTGACAATATGTATTCTAACAAATATCCATTGTGTTTTTTTCTTGTTGGCCTTTTTCCTTCTATGGCCAGACATTTCTTAAATTTGTCTATCGTGAAGAACTAAATAAAATACATTTAAAAGCCAGCAAGTCTTGAAATTATATTTCGTTATTGTTTCCAGGCATAACTTTTGTAAACCATATATGGCTTTTATGAGTAAGCCTATTCAGCAGTGTAAGTCCAATACCGGATTTTGCTTGTTTTCCCATCTGTGCCCTAAACTGAGACCAGCGGTAACTGCTACATAGAGATACTGCTATTTTAATTATAGTATCATGAGTTAATCATGATTGATCCCAAATGAAGACCAAATTAGACTTTGAGGCTCTTCTAAGTCACAAACTTACAATGTGTATTTTTAAAAACATTTTTTTATTTATTTGAGAGAGAGAGTAAGTGCATGAGCCGGGTGGGGGTAGTGCAGAGGGAGAGGGAGAAGCAGACTCCCTGCTGAGCAGAGAGCCCAATGTGAGGCTTGGTCTTAGGGTCCCAGAATCATGACCTGAGCCAAAGGCAGATGCTTACCTGACTGAGCCACCCAGGTGCCCCAAAATGTGTATTTTTTATAAATAAGTCTCATTTCATTTAAAAGCATGAGTTTTGTTTTTTGTTATACATTTTCTTAATTTTTCCTTGTTGCAGAAGCAAAGTGTATCTGTTATAGAAAATCAGGAAATACATGTAGGCCTAATAAATCCTAGGGGGCCGTATAGTCCAATGGCTACACGGGATTCTTCAAAGAAGCATGGCAGGCTAGCGTGTCACCTCTGACAGTGCTATGCTGACTCTGTTCTATTTGCTACATCCCATTTCTTTTTCTTTTTCTTTTTTAAGATTTTATTTATTTTACAGAGAGAGAGAGCACAAGCGGGGGGCAGCCTCAGGCAGAGGCAAAGGGAGAAGCAGACTTCCTGCAAAGCAGGGAGCCCAATGCAAGACTCGATCCCAGATCATGACCTGAGCCAAAAGCAGATGCTTAGCCAATTGAGCCACCCAGGCGCCCCTGCTACACCCCATTTCTGACAGATGCATCCCCCAGCCTTCTCTGTGCTCCTTTAATCTCTTAGAGTCCACCCTTGTACTGTGTTATCTAGGTTTCCAGCCTACTGGGTGTGTTCAGCCAATGGAAGGACTAGCAGCCCCACCTCTCTAGAGTCCCAAAGAAGTAACTACTTCCCAGAAGAAATTTGGTGTCTTTTGGGAGGTTCTTCCAAAAGCAGATTTCGAAACAAGGACTTGAATGCTAGTAGTCTATTTGGGAGGTGATCCCAAGAAACAGTGGCATGGAGGTGACAAGAAGAAACATGGAAGAGAAGAAAACAAACAAAAAGGTGTATTATCAAACAAGTCACCCTCATGGACAGTTGAGGTTTAATCTGTTGGGCGAGATCTTAGCAACAGTATAGCATGTGCACCTGAGAGCTGTCTGCTTGAGGGGTGGGGAGTTAGGGTCTTTATCAACAATTCCCTTCAGGTCATTGACAGAAGACTGGTCCAGGGAGAGTACATATGAAGATGCCAGGGCTGCTTCATGACCCTTCTACTGAGTCATGAAGACTAAAGAAAAGCAAAGAAAGGTAAAGAGTCCAAAAGCTGCACAGTGATGCTCCCAAGGAGTTGCCGGAAAAATGGTCTTAGTGGAGTGACAGGGTTTGAAGCCAGAATGCTTCAGAGAAAGAAGAGAAGATAATATGTGTGAACAATTCTCTCAAAAAGCTTGATTCTGAAGGGGAGGAGAAAAAGAAGGCTTTCACCCAAAGGTTATGGGGTTAGAGCAATGCTTTTCAAACTGGGATGGTTGAAAGTGTTCTTTATCCCTAAGACCTGAGAGTATTAACAAACACACATTGTGCCCACTGGATGCCCATGAAAATGGTTTCAGGATTTCAGTTCCTCTGGTTATATTTGTGTTTACAATCAACAATCAAGTTGCAGCCAGGCAGAAATCGTTTAAAGCTACATTTTGAACTGGGATACCTTGGATGGCTTAGTGGTTGAGCATCTGCCTTTGGCTCACATCATGATCCCAGGGTCCCAGGATCGAGTCCCGCATCAGACTCCCCACAGGGATCCTGCTTCTCCCTCTTCCTGTGTCTCTGCCTCTCTGTAATGGTCTCTTGCAAATAAATAAATACAAATCTTTAAAAAATAAAAAAGATAAATTTTGAATAGAAATTGTTCACGCTCTGTGAATGACATCCTTGAGAATGAATATCGTTTCTGCGTTGACAAAGAGAATCAGGATCCTGGCTTATGCTCTGCTTGTTCCAGCTTTGGAGATATTTGAATCAGAATGAACATTTCCAATGGAGAATGCTCATGTTCCAGAAAAGACATTGAGGCCCAAAGAGAACAAAGAGGAACAGAGGGAACAAAATATTTGGGATGAGATATTTGTCCTATTAAAAAGAAGCATAAACTGAAAGCTTAGCACATATATCTAACAAATCACCCTGGCTGCTAAAGGACATCTCTTAAAGGCAGCTCTGAAGACTTCCAAACACGAAGGACTTGTGGCCTTAACTTTCAGAGAGAAATTCCTTTAGTGGGTAGATAAGTAAATGCCTCAAGCAAGATTGAGTCAGGATAGGCCCCCATCTGGCCATAGTAGTGTTAAATAGAGGGGATATGGGGCACCTGGGTGGCTCTGTTGGTTAAGTGTCTCACTCTTGATCTCAGCTTAGGTCTTGATCTCACAGTTGTGAGTTCAAGCCCTGGCAATGGGCTCCATGCTGGCTGTGGAGGTTATTAAAAAAAGAGAGAGAAAAAAAGAAAAAGGAGGGATAGTAGGAAGGCAGGCTGTGAAAGCCACTTGTTTAGCCACCCCAGAGAACCTTCCTGTCTGTATGGGAATGCAGGACATAAATAGGATTTGTATATATCTGCAAAAAGCAAAGATACCCTATCTCATAGGTAATCTCAAGATTTTGATGTTTAATAAGGAAGCTAAAGAACACAGCTTCAGGGCTCAGCAGTTTAGCACCTGCCTTCAGCCCAGGACGTGATCCTGGAGTCCCAGAATCGAGTCCCACATCCGGCTCCGTGTGGAGGCTGCATCTGCCTCTGCCTTTGCCTCTCTCTCTTTCTGTGTGTCTCTCATGAATGAATAGATAAAATCTTTTTAAAAAATAGTTTCAAGGGGATCCCTGGGTGGCACAGTGGTTTGGCGCCTGCCTTTGGCCCAGGGCGCGATCCTGGAGACCCAGGATCGAATCCCACGTCGGGCTCCCGGTGCATGGAGCCTGCTTCTCCCTCTGCCTGTGTCTCTGCCTCTCTCTCTCTCTCTGTGACTATCATAAATAAATAAAAATTAAAAAAAATAGTTTCAATAATTAGGGTAAATAATCCTAGAAGTCAGTGTTTAAAGGAGTTTTACACACACACACACACATGCATGGAAAAAAATACTTTCAACAGAGCAACTATTTGCAACTTGTTATGGTCTTTCCAATCTTGATCTATGTATGTACAATTTTCAAACAGCTGTGGTCAATGTGTTGAATATTTCATGAGTGACCTCAGACAAACCACATCAGTTTCATTTGTCTGTTTTCTTATCTGCAAATGGAGAGAATTTCCTCTATTTCACAGGGTTATTGCGAAGAATAAATGAGGTAACGTAACATAAACACAATTTACAAACTCTGAAGTGTAAAATTGTGAGGTGTAATACATGTGATTGCTCCTTCTATGCCTTTCTATGTATCAGTTTGAATGGTCACGTATTATCCTAACTGAATTACTGTCATAGTTTATTTAACCGTTGTCCAGTTGTTTCTCATTCTTGCTTCTTGGCCATCATAAATAAAGTTGATTATAAACATCTCTGCATGATTAGCATTTTTCCCTTCTGAAATATTTCCTTAGGATGAATTCCTGGAAGTGGAATAACTGGGTCCAAATAGTTGGAACATTCTTCGTTAGATGATGTACATCTTCTGAGTCCAGGAAAAAAAGAAACCTTCAAATCCAAAAATCAAGTTAATTATGATGCACCACAATTCAGAAGCATTAAGAAAGTAAATCTAATCCTGGCGGTGATAACAACTCAGCACATATAGAACCACATCAGCATAATTTTCAAATAATTAAGTTTCCTCTGATCCTGGAACACATCTTCCATTGGCTACAAATCCTTTTTGGAATGGGGCAGGATAGAGCATGAAATGCAAGGACCATGACCCGGTAACATTCTTGTCCAGTGTTAGCAGCCTCTGTTTACAAGTTACCTCATTTTTTCTTCCCATCAAGGCCTCAGCCACTGTTTTTTTTGTTTTGTTTTGTTTTGTTTTTTTCAGTTGATTTAGATTCAGAGCAAAGTAGTTTTGGTAAAGGATGATTTGCTACACAGATTTTAGGTTAAAGTTGGGGAGATGAATTCTGTGCTGCACGTATATAAAATATGAAAATATATTCTTCATGATCTGTTCCAATTTTCTGGAAATATTATCTTAATATTTATAAAGTATATGCAGATTCCTAGACTCCTGCATATAAATGCTTTTACTATCTATTATCTAATGCCATTTTTGGAAGCTTAAATGCTCAGATTGGCAAGAGAGTTCTCTCTTCCTAAAGATTTCTTTTTGAGTTGAAATTCTGCTTTCCTCTGGGCCATTTCTTAGGGATGGCTGCAAGAATCAAAGAAGAGCTGTCTGAGACACTAATATGGTTCAGTAAAAACTTTCCTTATGAGATGTTTCAGGGGAATACTTACATCATTACTTAAGGGCCCAATGTGATTGATCATTAAATGATTAGCTCTATAGCGCTCATTTTCTTCCTCCACATATGTCTTTTTTAAAGAGACTAGAGAGGGAGTTAAGAAGAGGCATAGTAAAAAAAAAAAAAAAAGAAGAGGCATAGTAGGAGGGTAGTGGCTAATAGTTAGATATGATGGATGGTTTCGGCTTTGCCACTAACTAGCTATATGACCAGATCTAAGCTACTTAAGCTGTTTGAGCTTTAGTTTCTTCAACGACAAAGTTGAATCCAACAAACATTCTATGATTTCGTATGAAGCAAAGGCCTTTCCCCCTGACACAGTCAACTTTTGGGGGCCAAATAACTAAGAAAAGTCTTAATGTCATGTCACTGCGAGTGCTGTGCATTTGTGCAGGTGTGGGTGTTGGTGGAGGGGTGGGTGAGAAGAGAGATTTCCACTTCTCCATGTATCAGCAGTTGAAAAACAGGTTGTGAAAAACACTGTGCTCTCCTGTGTTTGGGCAAACAGGAATCAGGCCACCCTGACCTCATGGTCCCACAGAGACTGCCAGGAAGCCTGCAAAGTCTGTCCAGCGCTGCTGAGACAGCATGTTTGGCATAGCTGAGG